TGCAAACAGAATGCCTGTATGATGGGATTTGAAAAGTTCTATAACAATTATTCTGTGTTTGTCACAACTCTTGTTGTTGGTGCAATGCTCTTGAAAGCAAGCCTGCACTGTGTAAAATGAAAGCGGGGCGGTGCCCCCCATTTGCAAACACAACGTCTTTGTCACGATTCTGAGAGGGTCCATATGGGTTCTGTTTTCGCCGAGCCTGCACAGTTCATAAAAGCGGGGGGCCACCCGCATTTGCAAGTACAACGCTTTATGCTGTTGACGCAATGCTTGTTGATGGCAGATGTTCTTGAAAGCAAGCCTGCACGGCTTAAGAAGACAGGCGGGGGTGGGGGGGGGGGCCGCAGCCTGCCCACTTTCTGGAAGGACTCCAAACGGGCTCTGATGTTGCTGACAGGATGTTATTCGAAGCGTTGGCGCAATTCTTTTTGATAGCGCGATAGTCTTGAAAACAAGCTTGCTTTGTTCGAGAACAAAGCGGGGGTTGGGGAGCTGCGGCCTTTAAAAGTGCGGGATTGGTATTCCTAGTAAATGTAGGACCATGATAATTCCATAGTAAGCATGGTAACAACAATAGTAACATGTAAAAACCGCGATAATAGGAACAGTATACTACCAGTATTGTAGTAATAGTACTAATGGTGATGTAATCGCTTTAACCAAAGCTTTAACATCTTAGTAGGCCTAATGAAACTAATAAATATGCCAAAAGTATGCGACAGCAGTACCAGGAAGAGGGAGCGCGGACCAGGACTAGGGAGGACATCAGGACATAGACATCAAACTCAAGAGTCCGGAAAAGTCGAGATCGAAATCTTCATCCCAGGGACCAGCGGACCCGGACAGGGACCAGAGCACTTAGGGACCAGGAGACCATAGGCCGAACCAGGCCTTGGCTAAACCTTTCAAAACCCCAAACTTGGCCAAACAGTCTACCCTAAACCCTCAACCCTCAACCCTAAACTCTAGAAAACAAACTGGACCCCTCCAAGGCTCCTCACGCTCGCCGATGAAGGCGCTCCGCACAACGAAGCGCCCCTGCAAATATGCAGAAATCCATAGCTGCGTTGTAAGGCATGGGAAGTGCTGTAGAAGGTAAAGAAAAGCCTGCCTGCCGACCTTGAAGATCATTTCTCGGCAGCAAAGCTAGAAGGTCTTGCAGCTTTCAGCTTGCCCGCACCTTCACTTGCCCCGTCTGTCGGGGAATCCCTCTCCGCCCCACCTCTCCGTCGTGTGGATGCGGGAAGGGTTGCTATTTGCCTTAGGGTTCAAACATGATCAGTGTCCAGGTCTAGAAAAATACTTAGGAATGGAACTTACTCGTCGGGGGATGCACTCTGCTTGGAGTACTCCCACATACAGCTGGCGGGAGATGTGGAAAGCTCCTGTACAAACTGCTTTTGGGGAGCGCTTTGGCTCCACATGCGTAATGCGTAACCTGCCCAAAGAGAGGCCTATGCAGGCTGCAAACTTGCAAGCCTTGCGAGATCTGCTCTCTGTACCACCCCACGCAGTTTCACTATCTATCCATCTATATCTGCTTCTCTCTATCTATATATATATATATATGGAAACATAGAGAAAGTGTGTGTATATGTATATATTATATTATATGCAGCATGCAGCACTATGTGCATTAACGCGAGGTTTTAGTGAGCCGGGAAGAAGGTTCCTGCCTATGGCAGCTCCGCTTCCCAAAAAAAAGTCTGCCAGGCTGGTCGTGGCCGGGGACAAAGCGAAAGACCTCCAAACACTGAAGCCTTCTTCTCTTGATCACAACCATCCGCTTCTCACCAGCTCGTTGGCACCGCAACCAGAGCCAACAAAAGCGCCACAAGGGCAGTCACAGCCACGGAAACGAAGTGCGTGGCCTGCTTTGGACAGTGTCGGCTAACCATGACGATGTTGACTGCTCGCTTGAACCCCTCTTTGCAACTTCGCCTGGGCTGCCAAAGCTTCCGCCTCTCGTATAAGCTCTGACACCTTGGCTCTCAACTGGCATCGGAAGACGGTCACCTCGACTTAAAACTGCGCTACAGCTCCCCCCGTTACGAATGGGGCCAGCACATTCTCTCCTGTTACAGGGTCTTTCTCAGGAAGCTCAGCGCGAGGATCCTTCGAAAGGGACAGCAGAGCTTTATCATGACCATGAGAACACCCTCTTCGCAGCAAGTCAAAATTCGAGTCGTCTGAGTGTCTCTGCCTTTTTGAGAAGAGCCTGAGCAGCCCGCCACCTTAGGCACGTCTCTCAGAGCTGTGGTGAGGTGCAGTGTGCACTGGCCAAGCCTTGCCGTTGAGGCTGCGCTCGCCTCGCTGACGGATGACCCCAGTTTCCAAAGAAGCACAACAAGTGCAACATGCACTTGCTCTTCGTAGGATGCTTTCACTGATTCACGCCATTTCTTTGACCAATTGAAACTTCCAAGCATTTGTTCATCAGTGTTGCAAGTTCAGGCATTGCATTGCCGAAGGTGACAGGCTGGCGGGATACACCATGCAAGCTTTCATGCGAAGAGCTCTGCACATAACCGATCCACCTGCGGGTTCTTCCTGCAGCACGACTCAGGTGAGTCCTGCGACCGATTCAGCCGTTCGATTCTACTTGAAGCTACCATCGAGCGTCCTGTGGCTTTGTGGAAAACCATCTCGCTGCATCTCTGTAGCCGCACCAGAAGACACCTGTGACACAATAGCTGGCCACACGGCACGTCGTGGAGTGATAACCACCAGCCGGACCTCGCAGTACTCGAGGTTCGGGAGGCAGCACTGCCCACCAGTAAGGCACACGATCAATCCTTCAAAGACGCTTAGACACATTGAGACTCGGGGAGAGGAACACTTCGACACTACGACAAGACTATGGTGAAAACAGCTGAGCCACTTCACATCAGCCAGAGGATGTGCACAGGCCGACACACGCACCACGTGATCTCCTGGGCACTGAATGGCACATAGAGATTCTGAGATCTCCACAATCCAACTGATCCAAGGTTCCCGGTGCTCCGCGCCATGGAACAAGGAGCCGGTCTGGCCAAACAAGGCCGTCGTAGTAGTAACGGCCTCTGCTTCTGCACTCAAAGAAGCACCGGATCTACTGCAATGAAGCTGTCGGCAGCTAAGCGCTGCGTCTTTGGAGTTGCTCCGCATCGCAGGCCGACATCCGAAGATCTCCAAGCAATGGGCTTCTCCCGGCCGAGCTGCCGAAGATTCGCTTGGGAAATAGGCCCGCAAAGAGCGGCACATGACCTGGGCGTCGATGTTTCGCTGGCCCGCCATCTTTTTCCTCCCTCTCCCTCACTCGCACTCGCTCTTGTCGGACATGCACTGCTTGGGGCAGACGAGCAGCAGGACGCACAGAGGGTCTGAATAACAGTTTCATTGTCTGGGAACTTGTCAATGACCTGCAGAATCGAACACTGCATTTCGGCCCGCATGCCGTCCCGAAGATCTCGAGACGAATGGAGAGCCTCCCCCTGCACAAAGGGCGGGTGCTGCATCACCCTTGTCAGCAGAACCTCAGCTTCCGGCAACACGAGACCACGAGAGACCACGAGCCCTGCCCCGCTTGTGGACTTTCGTGCCTTCCTTGCCTTTCAAGCGGCCCGCATGCGGCCGATGAGGCGAAGATAGGCACCCTGGATGGCCAGCATCAGTCTCGAATTCCCCTTTCAATCACCCATAATCTCCTTTTCCCAGTGCCCTGTTCTCCCTTCAGCGAACCTCAAACTGGAACTTGCGCAGTGCGCGCTCGACAGCTGGGAACATCTCCTCGGCTGAGTTGGCACCAACGGGACTGTCTGTGCCTGTGGACCTCTGCCGCACCCCGTGAATAATCCATCTGCGGATATCGGAAGACTCGATGCAGAGATCCACCAAAGCTAAAACTATGAGCGGGCCTTCAGCACACGTCCCAACAGAGAGAGAGAGAGAGACGGAGAGAGAGCCAGACAAATTTGGAGGGTCGAGGGAGGGAGGTGCTGACAAGCCTCTACAGGATTGCGCTTGCAAAGCGGCTGCCTGAGCTGGGCTGCAGGCAACGCCACAAGCGAATTTCCTCGTGTTTGTCGCTCTGCTTTTCTGGAGAGGTTTTCTCGGAGGCTTCTCGAGCCAAGCTGCTGCTCGACGATGAAGTCGAACACATCACGGGGATTGTTCCCACAGGCCAGTACACACCTGGAAGCCAGAAGGCACAAGATGAGAACAGTCCCCAACTCGCCAACGCGGCCGCAGGCTGTTCCCGAGGTAGCCACGCGATCAGCGAACCACCAGAAGAGCCGCTGAATGCGACCTCAAAGGTTTCAGGTACCGTTTTGGCTCCGTTCCACGACATCCTCTTTAGCGACCCTGGTGCCTCTTCCGGCATGGAGTGGGGCTCATCCGGTTTTCGGAGGAGGCCCAGATTGTCGCTCAGCCAGAAGCCCACGCCAAAATGGTAGACCTAGCTCTGGAGCAGCCAGTTCTCGCCACCACACCAGGTCACCAGACATGAGCAAGACTAAGATCACGGTGCATCAAGGTGACGAAGAGCCAGCCGCAGGAGTCGAACGAGAACGTCACTCGCCTCACTCATGGCTCCGAGCTTCTCAAAGGTGCCACTTCGGGCGGTGGTTATAAGGGACACCCCACTAAGATCCGGTTTTAAGCCTTTTGGTTTGCAGCCAGGCCGGCCGTGGCGACTCGTCACTGCTTTGCCGGCTCAGGCGGGAGGCTGCTAGCGGCTCCGAGTGCCACTCCTTGGGAGAGAGATGCCAAGAAGCTACGGAAGATAGCTACGGCGACGGACCTACTGCGTATACTTCTGAGATGCCAAGGAGCGGTGTAAAGAATCAGCCCATTCCCAATTACAAACAGATGCAGGGCCGCCAGCTTCGCCGGGAAGTGCCCCCAAATGGCTGCGGCCAGCGAGTGGCCAGCACAAAGGATGTACCTTATAGGAGACCAGAGCGACAGACGGGAAGCCGGAAGCATCGGAAGCTATCGATCTGTGGCGTGTCAAGCGGCTGCGCAATCTGAAGCCTGAAGACCCAGGTGGCCCGCGAGACCTGGCTTTGCTGCAAGCCACCAAGCCCCAGATCGAGTTGTCGCATGGCAAGCTTCGAGGAGGAAAACTTTGCCGAGCAAAAAAAGACTTCTTGTGGCCAGGGCTCCCTGGAGTCAGAACGCGAAGGAGAACTGGATGTACAACCTGCAAGCGCCAGGACAGCGGCCTTCCTAGCGCCTCGAACAGCCCGACGCGATCTCGAGTGAACAGGCAGTTGCAGCTCCGAAGCTGAAGCTGGAATACAAGCCGTATACGACCTTCCAGCATCTTCCAGCTTTCAGTGGAGAGGCAAAGTGAGGAAGCGCCATGTCTCGACTGACTGGAAAATGCAGCTTCGTGGCAGTCTGGCAGCCCGAGCTCACCAGTGCCGGGACGAAGGCTTCAGCCCCGCAGCCACAGTGGCAGGCGATGAACCAGCCCCACCTGTGTGAAACTGTAGCCTGAAATTAACGCTACGGATGCAGCAGAGAGCCTTCAAGGACGGGGAACTGGGGCAGGTTGCAACCAGGGCATAAAGGAAGTCGCCGAAGGCTTTGCAAGCAAAATCTCAGTCATTTAACCCGAAACCTTCGAAGCTCGGTTGGCCAATGCGGTCAAGCTGCAAATTCAGAACCTTGAATGTAATTTGAGCCAGTCTGCTGTGAGCTTGCTCAGAGGCTATACTGCATTCACAACTTGTCGCTTGATTGGAAGTGTTGGACTTCACCGTCAGCTGAGGCACGCGGAGGTAGACATGCAGAAACGAGACGCCCTGGAACTTCTTCTGAAGCACCTCACGTCGCAACGCAGCAAGCTGAGCAAGCTGAGCAAGGACGGGGTGCCGAAGGTGAGCTGAGGCTAGGCACCATGAATCCGGTCTCCACCAGTTGGAGCTGGCGGCCTCGGATGAAAGGCGGCGGGAGGCGGCCAGACCACTCCAACAATCGACAGGATAGGGCGGCCCAATGGCAGTGGTATTGCAGCCACATCAGCCAGCCCAGTCGATGGCTCGTGGCCTCATGACAGTATGAAAGAAACTCGCGTGCGTGAAACCTGGCCAGGCTAGGCCAGTGGCTGTGGTGTCTGGAACGTTGCCCCAGATCTGGAAGCCCTGCGCCTGACCCTCGAGGACGAGCATAACGAAGCCTGTGCGGTGTGCACACTCGCTGGGCAAACAGCCAGCGACTATGCTGCCACGTCTCCTGCTCTCACAACTTTGCTGCCGTTCTTCTGTCACTGTGAGCCAGCAGATTCATTAGCTTCAGGCTTAAATCTGCAGAGCAGCAGTAAAGGTTGTAGCAGCACTGTGTAGCGTTGTGCACTGCCATGCACTCGAATATGAACGTCTGCACCTTTAGTGGCAACATGATGCGCAAGCTCGTGTTTGTCGGCCACCTGCACGCCTTCAGCATGAAACCTGTGCATCTCCGAGGGTCCGACTGGCAGACTGCGCCTGCGTTGCCCAAGTGATCACCGCATGTGGCTTCACTTCCTGAACGGCCCTGAACCGCCTGGAACCTCCCGGATCTGTGCTGCTGAGGCACTGCGCCATCCGCCCAAGCCCGACAAAGGTGAGGGAAACCTTTCGCCACTGCAGGCTTCGGGTTTGAGAAGTGTGGTCGACATGAATACATGACAAGTTGCGTAAGCGAGGCTGAGCAGCAGCGCCAACGAGCTACTCACCTCTCGCCGAGCTGTCCAGTCCGGGCTCTGGGTCGTCTCGACTCTGACACTTGGGACCTCTGCGAAAGGGCCGCCCGCACGTGGCTCCAGTACTCCGGTCTCCACCTGAAGTTTGAAAGAGCAGACGGGTCTGCTCAATCACCACACACGAATTGCAGCCTGTATTTGCCATCGAGCGCTGCCAAACTGCGCCAAGCCAGGAACCTTCCATTGCTTTAAATTCTGCAGTGCCAGGTGCTCTTCAACCCATCTCTGCATGCACCCAATTCACCAAACATCTTTGGACACCAATCCTTGGGCCAGGGCACCATGTAGCAGCTGTAGAGCGCAGCACCCAGCAGAGTAGATACTATCGGCACAGGCCGAAGCTTGCGCCAAGGTGGAGCCGAATTGAGGACATCCACCTCCAGCGCAACAGGGCTTTCCTGCGTCCTTTCAGATCGGAAACGAAACTGCAAGAACTGCTGGCGCTGGGCCTGGGTGAGTTTTCCTCGGCGGAGGTTCGCGAAGTCGGGCTCTGTGCTGTCCCGCGCCATGGGGCCATCGGGCCCGGCTGACTGCTACAGCTCTCCTACGGCTCTTTCTCCAGGAAGTTATGGTCCCGTTACGGTATGTGGTGTTTAAGGGCAAGAGATTCACGGTAGGAGGCGGGACGAGAGAGAGAGAGAGGATTCATAGAGAGGGTGCGCCCACACTCAGACACGTGGAGGGTTCTACATCCAGATGCGCCTTCTCGGGGGGCTGCTCGTACCTCTAGAGCTGAGCTTGCTCTCGCATGTCTCTGTCGAGCTCTGTCGTAGGGATGCATGGGAAGACGAATTTGCCGGAGCCTGTGCCGGCTTAGCAGCCGAACATCGGAATACGGAAGCGGCTTCATGTAGCTTCAAGCCACGATGCTGAGCAAAAGAGCAGCTCTCTCCTTACCACAGCTTCGGCCCGTCGCAAGGCCGGGCCTGAAAGTGCCCCACGTACCGCTGGGCCACCCGCCGGGTCTGGAGATCCCACAGCCGGACACTGCGCAGGCATCCACGGCAAAACAGATCGCAAGCCACTGCAAACTCTTTGCAGTCGCCTCGGGCCCTGCTGCAGAGCAGAGACCTGTCGACGCTGCGCGGATGCAACGTGGCACAACGTGGCACCACACAAGAAGAGTTGTCAAAAAGGTTGAGGGTGCACTCCTAAGACAATCGGAAACGTGCAGGTTGAGTACTTCGAATACAAGTGGGCATGCAGCGACTTGATCGAGGACTGCGGCACCTTCGCTCTTAGTTGCTTCCGGTAGACTTTGCAAAAGCCCGGCTTGCCTGATGCGCTTCACTTCACGCTTTGTGGAAATTGACCACGAGATGCTACGGTGGAATCCCCAGAGCATCAGTGCCACCGCATGAAGGAGTGCTATGGAAGATTGGGGTTCAGGACCTGGGGTCGATGATGTCTTGAAGACAAGTCGTAATCATTTAATGGACTGATCGGACCATCGCGAGTGTTTTGGAGCTAAGTCATGTCTGGGTGCTATAGCCTCTAGCTGACAAGGCGAAACGTCTTGAATATCCGAGACATCGGCATGCTGCGCCACGTTGACGAGGAACTCATCCCGGAGCCGTGAGGCACTGATCTGCGCAAGTCAGAGGGCAGTGCCTATATTATGCCCAGATGCTCCTTGCTCTCGCTATCTCTCACTCACCCAGGTCCCCTGCGGAAGTGACTGCGTCGCTCTCAGGTAGTGGTGCCAACTCCTTCCGCGAGGCGACGTCGAAGACCTGCGTCCCATTGCAAGAGGATCCTACTGCCGTCGCATGGCATGAATGGCAGTCGACTCGCATGGTACAATTGTCCCAGCTTCGATGTGCCGTCGCGCCTTGATACCTTTGTCAGAGTCCACGACAAGCACTCGCGATCCATCCCTGGTGGTAGCCTCATGGAAGCACTTCACGTTGGCTTCCATGGACAGCTTGGAAACAGACTGCCAGACTATGCCAGACTCTGGGCCAGCAGCCAGATCCTGCACCCTGCATTGAAGCTCCCAGCGGTGCTGCCTCTTGGCGACCAGAATATCAGAACCCTGGCCCTGGCCCCGGGCCCCAACACACATGTTTGTCTACCCCTGTGTGCTGAGAACACCACAAGTCGCCATCACTCTTCCAGAGCAAGAGACACCTTGCAGCTGTCGTGCCGAGATGTGAGGCAAGCACTCTGTGCTGAAGGGGAACCTGTCAAATCCTGCTGACAGGAAGTGCTCGCCATCGGGGAGCCAGGCCACCTCAACTCGCCAGCACTTCGTCCAATGATTCGAACTCCCGCCACGCGCGACTCGTGTGCCCGTTCTCTTGGATGGTGGGCTTCCCCGCAGCAGACACGGAGTCTGTATGTCTCGCGAAGATCTCCGGCTCCACGGCGCCTGCAAGGGCCAAAAGTTGCGCTCCCACCCATCGCCTCGCGCGCTGCGGGTTGCCTGGAAGAGTCCAAAGCCTCACCGTACCTGCCAGGGCCGACGACTGAGATCAGGCGCATTCTGACGCATTCTGCAGCCCCCTGAAGGCCCTTAACTCTTGGCTGCCCCCCGCCCCCGCCGTCGCTGGATGCAGAAAGGAGCCGCCGCCCGTCGGGGCTCCAGGCCAGGGCAGCACAGGGCCTTGCAAACTGCTCACAGGAAGTCCAATATCCATCTACCGGGCCTGAGCACACTCATGACGACGTTTTTGAAAGAGGTCGCTCAGCTGTCGGTCAGCTTCCCAGTTCCCCATCCCCAAGAGTTTTTCTGCTCCGACTTCTGGCTAAACCTGAGGAGCCGGCGCACTGTGGCCGATCAACACCTCCGTCACCTGAGCTGGACATAGCTGGACCACTGATCAGAGGCGTGCAGCAACTGCAGACAAAATGCTCTGCCAGAGTCTGTTGGCCTAAACGTGCTCGAAAATATGATTATCCGTTGCAGCTCGTTCCAATGAAAACGCCATTTCCAGCCGCTTTGACTTTGAGGGACGTGCTTCAAGTCAAGGGTGGTTGCAGCTCTGGAGGCAGCAGCGGCAAGTGTTCAGTCAGTGTCCTACATTGTTGAAGCCAGCTCGGCCTCATGAGCTGGACGATTTCGGATTGAAAGGCTTGACTGACCACTCTGCGAGCAGGCTGCATTCATTCTGCTCTTTGAAAGCCGTTGTGAAGAGCGAGCTTCAAACGGCCCAAAACTAAAACCAATGCAGACTCCTCGACTCTCTCCAGCTGTTGATTTCCATGGCAGCACTGCGACTGGCTAGTGAGAGTCGGTCTGCACAAAAGCATGCCCGATGTTCCTGGACATGAAACCTGTCAAAATAGCACAGGCTGGAACCTGAGAATCTGTTTACCCTTCACCGTGCTTAGCAGGCTTAGCATTCGGTATGCAACTGGACGTGTCGGGAAGAAGAAGTGCCTGCAGATTCTCAGTCTCTGGTCCCTTCAGTCAGGGCCCAGAGGTGCGGGGTCGTTGGCCCCTCCGAATCGATTCTCTAGTACTCTACTCCAGCAACGGCCCCATCATGTCCCACCCTTGCCTTCTCCTCCGGTTCCACACGAGCCCGTGTTCCACTGGAGCCGAGCCCGCTGAAGCCCGCTGGTGCGCCTCGCAAAAGAAAGCTGAGCCTCTCCCAAACCGCAAAGACAACAAAAATCTGAGAAAATCTGAGAGCCTTAGAGCGAGGAGAGGAGATGCCCTTGCCCCGGCCTCGGCCTGGCGTCCACCCGGTTGAGTGCGCGGTCGGCTGGGGGGCGTTTTCAAGCGCCACAGACGAGGTTGGCCGGGACCGCTTCCTGAGGGCTTTGAAACCCGACATAAATAGAACTGGCCCGAGGTTCGATCTAACCCAAACTGCTCAAGCTGCATGGAGAGCCACGTCCATCATCTTCGGGTACGGCAGCTTGAGATCCTTCATGGTCTTGATAAACTCTTCCTGCACTGGTGCCAAGGTCGGTCTCCAGCTCAGCTCAGCGCTTGACAATGACAAGCAGCTGTCATGCCTTGTTCTGCGTCAGTCGAGGATTGAACTTCTTCTCTTCTGCCACGGTTGATACGTTTCCTGTCGACTTCTGGATTATCGATACTTCGTGCAAGGCTGCCCACCTGCCGATTTTCTGAAACTTACATCCCGTCGTATCTACGACGAAAGTGGAACTTACATCGAAGTGTCACCGCTGGCGATGCCGAGGTGCTCCCTTTGTAGTCATGACCTGCAGGCAGCTGGGCCCGCTTTCAAGTTGAGGACGGCAACAGCTCAAGTTGCTAGGTCGATTCCGGAGACGCTTGCATGCTTCCAACCTCAACAACTTATGGCGGGATACAGGCTCGAAGCGGGGGGGACTCCTTTCAGTAATTAACCTATACAGTAGTTGAGAGATAATTCACCTGGATAGATCTTCGTGTCCTCGGGCAGGGTGAAGATCTTCTGGTGAACCATGTCAAAGAGTCGCGCAGCGTCGCCCTTGCCAGGCGGGATCAAAGGGGACCCGGGACCAACTCCTCCTTTTGCGGCAGCAAGTTGTTCGCCCTCCCCCGCCTGCTGGAAGTCGGTTCTGCCGCAGCCTCGAATCAGCAAGGTATCACCTCATGCCGGTGCGCGTAAGACTTGACCAGAAGTTAAAGCCGAGCAGTTGCAGCTTCTGGGGCCATCGCCGGTGAAGACTGCCCTGGGCGCATCTGGGCCGAGCAGCACGAAACACATGCCTGAGCTGAGAAAGCACATTAAAGTTGGATGGTGGAATCTTCTGCCCTTCGGAATCTCTGTCGCCTAGGTGCATCCGTCTGTGTGTCCCGGTGTGGCCAGGGCCTCGAGCGCCTGTGAACGAGCAAGGCGAAAGCCTCGAAAGCCTTTCTGCTGCCTCCCTTCATCTCCCTTCTCCCTGCTCCTCACACTCTGCTCGACAAGCGGCATACTCGCCAAACTCGATCTTGTCGCCATCCTCCGAGCGGTAAGACACGCGAAAATGCAATAAAACATCGTAGCGCAGGGAGGCGGTGACTTGGCTCCTTCAGCTTGATATCTGCGGCAGCGCCAGAGGCTTCCGAGATCATGGTCTTCACCTGTTTCAAGGGGAAGAAGCATCGCACCCTTCAAAACGCCCTCGAAACCGCCCCTGACGGGGCCTCTGGATGGAGCTTCTTGATGGCACCACCGGAGGTGATGTGATCTGCAAGCAGACTCCAAAGGACACGCACGACACGCACGACACGCACGACAGGGCCGCAGGGCCGCAGGGCTGCAGGGCTGCAGGACTGCAGGCGCGGCCTGCATGGCAATGGGTGTTCACAACGTACTTCACCTCACCAGCCAGAGGTCGTAGGAGCGGGATGGAGCGGAGGATGGTGGGGGCATGGGGGCAAGGGCAGCCCGAAAGTGCTCCACTTCACTCTCGGCCGCTGGCCTTGAAGCCCAGCTCCTCGGCCAAGCCTAGATCCCGGGTCTCCATGCCCAGAACCTGATGCGAAGGAGCAGAGCAGAGGGAATTGAGTTCAGAAGTTCATCAGATCATTAAGATCTCTCTCGGAACTCGCCAAGGATCTGGGTCGATCAACACCGCCTCCTGGCTGTGCGCACAGCCGACGAGGTAAGAGAACGTAGAGCTGCCCTGACAAATCAGCGCCATGCACTCAGCCCAAGCCCAAGCGCTTCGCGGGCCTTGTGGTCAAAAAGCTGCTCAATGACTGCTGACTTCGTGGGTGCAGTGGTGTGCTGCCCCTGGCCCATGGAGCACGATCATTGCGATCAAGTCAAGCGCGACTTCGCGTTCAAGGCCGGGCCTCCTCGTTGGGTGCGGGCAGCTGGTCGAGCACCCAGTCCTTGATGGGCCCGCACCTCTGAATCTCATCGGATGGCATTGATGCCGAACTGATGCATCAGCTATCTCCCGAGCTCCAACCTATCCAACCTTCGGCCTGTGGCCTACGAGTGAATTTCAGAACTAAGAAGGCAAGACGCTCGGAGCACTTCGTCCAGAACTTGAGGTCTAAGTCCTCTGCCAAAAGAGAGGCGGATGCCCTGCGTCACACAGCGAGCAGCGAGATGGGGCGTTTCCAGAGGCACGTCTCGTCTCTTCACCTCGAAATTCCCGAGTTCAAGAATCCGTAAGCCGCCAAAGACCAAACGCTGAAGTCCACGATGCAGTGTGTGCGGGCTGAGCCTGTTGTGCCCCAACGCTTTGGCCTTTGCAAGCCAAAGCAGTGCGCCGCCTATCGTCTCTTCCCTCTCTCGGCCTTTCAACCCCAGCCTGCGCCAGCAGCAGCGCGGCACCGGCACGGTTGCCCGAGGTGCACTGAACCATCCTAAGCGGCTTAGGTCGAACTCGCAGCGATGAGCAGCGAAGCAGCCTCTCTTCCGTGTGGCCCCACGGGGCCCTGGCAGAGGCCTGGGGAGCCGGTCCATGGCCGCCACGACCTCCCACAGGGAGGGAAGGGTCATGGCATGGGCACTTTATGACATTTGCCTCGACTTTGCCAAGGCACTGCTGCCGCATGCTCTGCTGTGGCTTTTTGGCTACCAGCAGGGTTGGGAATGGGCGCCACCTCCACCTGCGTCGGCCGTGGGTTCTTGAACTAAGTCGTCTGAATCTGTCTGCTCCCCCCCACCTGGCACCCCGCTGCTTCGATCTCCTTCTTGTGGAAGTGCTTGTTTTCCTTTGCTTCTGTGTTACATCGGAATCGACAGTCTTTCAGGACATTCTCCGAGACACTGCTGGGTTGAGGTAGAGCCAGCCTTTGTAACGCGGAGCAAGCTGTTCAATGATCGCCACGTCGAGGTTTCCTGTCCGAGCACAGCATCCAAAGAGCTGTGCAACGGACCCCCTGCCACGCCTGACAGGCTGACGTCTCCCGGGATATTTGGCGTGCTCACACCGAAGAGCTCAGGCTTGAGGCCTTGTTTTCCAGCTGAGTGGGAATCTGATGAGCAGCACCGACTCGCTTGAACTAAACTCGACCAGATGATTTGACCTCACATCATGTCCAGCCATGCTGCTGTCGGTCATGGCAGCCGCGCCCTGGGTCGCGGCCTCACCTGAACAGAGGGGGCCAAGAGCCGGAATAGAAGCGAAGGGGCACCGGGGTCATAAAACGATCAAAGAGACGACTCGCTTGCATTGAGCTTTCCTAGTTCCCGAGTTCTCGAACCGCTGCGACGAAGCCCCAATGTTGCAAACGAATCGCTTGCCTGGCCTGCACCGGCTATGGGCACGGAAGCCTCCGAAAGGTCATTCTAGCATGCATAAGCAGACAAGTCCTCATCTCAAATGCAGCGCGCTGCTTTCGCGTGCAAGTGCGCTTCAGGCATCAACTCTTATACAGCCAACATCCCGTGTCATGATGCTTCGAAAGCAGCTTTGGAACCCTTCCGCCTTCAGTGCAGCGGTTTCAGACGGCGGCGCTGCCTCCAGCCACCGACCGGCAGGAAGCTTCGGAGTGTTCACACAGGTTCACGCAGGCAATGCAAGGGACTCAGAACTGACTGGTTAATCCATCGCAAATTCCTCCTCTAAGACTCTACTTACCCCCTCGCGTTAAGCCGGCATCGACTTCTTACATGTATAAACAAATAAATCATCAGCCGTGGATGCTGATCTGTCGCAGAACTGACGATAACACGGCAGACTCACCACTCCGGCGACACCCTGATCCTAAGAAATGAAAGTGCTGCAACACCATGCAGAGGTTGAAACCGGAATCTTGCGTACGACACCGCTCAGAAGTTAACCCCACTGGCGGGTGTCCCTACAGCCCTACTGTAGGCCTTGAAGGCATTCGGCTTGGCGGCCTGGGGATTGGCATCAAAAGGAAGGAACTACCTTGGTTGGGTATCTCGGTATCTCTCTATAAGACTGTAACAGACTGTAGCAGACACCTCTCCCAGCCTTGGCCTTGTGCTTCACTGACGGCTCAAACCACATGTACTTGCCGTACCTCGTAAGCTATGGCTGCGCATGCTATGCCATCCCGATGCCCATACACAAGCTGTCAGGACAACAAGTGCAAGACATCGCAATCCATTTCTCTGGACGGCCAGTTGGCAGTTGAGGTGCCATCGTCCTAGGGGCATAGAATGCCAGTAGACGTGCTCGAAGACGTACCGCTTCCTCGGAGCGATATTGATTCAGAAGATTCTGCTCTACGAGTCTCCCCTGCCCTACCTGAAAATGAGCCGAGCATCAACCAATAAAACAAAGTGTTGGGCTTTGTCTGGTCCAGCGGAACGAAAGTCGGAGTGGCTTCCTCGGCAGCAAGCGTCAAAGCCCCGCGTAAGTTGGCTCAGCGCATGCCGTTGTTACGTCCGAACCGACACTGCCTGCATCGCAAGACTCCATCGTGTAGCCGTTGAACTCCGCGAGCAGCAGTTTGCTGTCCTATCTCTGCCAAGTCGCATCTGCGGCTTGCCATGTCACGCTTTAGGGTCGGGCATTGTAGTTCCTTTTTTGAGTTAGCTTCTAGGACCCTGAACATGGGACTGGTTGCCGGTTAAACCCCAAAGAGGACCGACAATGGAGACTCTAGGTGGTTCTACAAGCTACCCAGAGGACGCAGGTGGCTTCACGAGGCTGAATAGTTCAGATTCCAGGTTGCCTTTTAGGTTGAGGGTTTGGGGTTTTAGGGTTTTGGTCTGAAGGCTTGGAGTTTAGCCGAAATTGCGTTTGGGCTTGAAGGGGGAAAGAGCATGCACCGCGAAATGTGCGAGCAAAGGAGATGCAGAATTAACCAAGCCCTCCTACCCTAGCCCTAACCCCAAGACCAATATAGGGGCCTTAATAATTAGGATAGGGCCTCATGACACGCAAGCTGGCTTAACTAAAGCGCGAAGCGCAGTCACTGCCAGGCAAGCGGCCCCCAGAAGCACGGGACATGCCGTGTAGCCATCGTAGGTGGAAGTGGCCTCTCTGCCGGACAGCAGAGCCTGCACCTGGGCCCAGAGGACTCACGGAGCTTCCTTTCTTTCGCCAGGGCTAGGGCTGTGGTGCAGGGGAAGCCTCCTCTTGTCCTCTCTCTGATTCTCTCTGCACTCTGCACTGCTCTGCACTTTCCGAGCGGCGTTGTAGGTGACGACTGGAGCCTGGGATGAGATGGCCGAGTACGTCCTGAGAAAAATTCGAAGGGAGAGTTGAGGTGGAAGGCGCCCTTCACAACGTCTCGATCTTTATTCCAAGCGGCTTCGAGGTCGGGAGCGAGGAGCAGTCGCCGAGGGAGAAGATATTGGAGAACTTGTTGTGCTGGCAAGTCTCCTGAAGGGGCTGCGAGCACTGGTTTGACCCCGGCTAGGAAAGGCAACCCTCGAGCACCCCGGGTAAACCTAGGGCGCCAGAGCACGGAAGGAGAGCGAGGTGATTTACCCACCCATCTTAACCTGATCCGAAGCTGAATCCCTGTCACGCTGGCACCTCATCGCAACAGAAGACAGAATTCCCAAGATGATTTCCTTGTCCACATCGACGAATCCAGCCGCGTTTGCGAGGGGGCTATTCCTGCACTGAAATCGCACTGGAGTCAAGCTCGAAGGAAGGCAAGCAAGTCCCGTAAACTCCTGATGAAGTCTGGTGCACTCATTGGGGGCGTGACATGGAGAAAGTCGAACTCTTTCGTCAGCAACTCACCACCTGTCATCAAGCGTACTTCCAACAAGCAGAGGTGGCCGAGGCCGTTCGGACTCCGGACATTCAGGGATGGAGCAGCTTCTTCGACCTGCCTTCCTTTTCAAAGGTCGCGATCTTCCTGTCAGGTACATCGGAAGGCTGGATCTCTGCGTGCACAACAAGCTTATAGTTGGCTGCAAATCCTGTTTAAACAGCCTGTCCTGTCCCCATCGACTTCCACGAGATTCGTCTTGACATGCGGAGTGATGTCTTGGATGATGCAAAGCCACATTTCTGTCTTGCAGTAGTTATTCCTCGTGCCGGCTAGAAGCTACTGCCCTCAAACATCCCTCAGCTGACATCTTCCACGAAGGGCACACTTCCAGGCCAGGGTTCTCTTTGACTTCATGACCTTCTCCAAGGCTACCCGATACTCAGGGCAAGCGAAGATGCCTTAGAGAAAACGAAAAACATCGTCAAGTACACCACTGTTGCCATCCCAGCATGATGCAGCCACACGTGCCTGGGGTTGCCGTGCAGAACTCGATCTCGATGTTGTCACGAACTCCTGAAATGCCCCGAGTACAAGGCTGATCCCAGATCCAACACCGATGCGTCCTCGTTGACGCCATGCCGCTTCGGCCAGGTAGCAAATCCTGAAGTCAGTTTCAGTTCTGGGTCGGCTGTGAGTTGGTCGATCTGCTTGCTGTCTCAGTTTCTTCTGTGGTGCGCCACCACAGTTGACGGCTGTGCCCGGGTTGGTGAAGATGGCTTTCCCTCGCACGAGTGCAGTCGCAGGCTAGTCTGTCGGCAACACTATACAACAGTTTGAGACGGCCGCGACGATTGTACGCTCAGGAAAGCTTTGCCTGCATTAAACAACCACGAACACTGAACACACAAGAGTGGGTGCCTGTCTGCATGTTCTGGATGTTGGCCCAAACACTTGGCGAGTAATCAAAGGAGTAGATTGAGGCAACCTTGGGTTGTCGACCCCACTCACTCTGATGGAGGAGGTGCAGGAAATAGGTCACGATCTACAGTCCAGGCACGCCGTTCTTTCCCATGGTCTCCGGGAGTCCTGCCCCATGGTCTCCGGGAGTCCTGCGGGCCCAGGCCGTGCACGAGCTCTCCAGACTGGGCTCAGGAGCTCAGTCTCGGACCTGTCACAGCTCCAAAGTTCTGCTGCAGCCCGGCAGCCACGACCAGGATATCGTACTCCTCACGATGCGATAAGCTAGTTTGGGTATCGGTAGGGGCTGTCGAGACCGGTGATTGGGGAATTCTTCGGCGTTTCCCAAAGACTTGTTGATGCTTCAGCATGCGAAACGGTCGCAACAGTGCAACTGCCGACTGTAGCCTTGCAAGGATGGGCTGGTTCAGAATCCGAGGAGCAATCTGCTGGCCGCTCGCCAAGGTCAACTTGTTCTGCTCCGGCTGGAAGGTGAGGCACTTCTCCTGCAGACACAAACTTGGCGGACCTGAGCACTCTTGCAGACTTCAAAGCAGAAACCGACTGAAAGGATGTGTTGTAATCAAACAATACACGTGGAAGAAAGCTCGTTTAGCTTCTCCTTGATCCACTGCACGTGGTGAGGCATCACCTGGCCATGCAGTGCAAGCGGAACGCAAGTCTCAACTGACAGCCCCCCCAACCTTAAACTTCCGGCCCTGCCTGCTCCATCGGTCGTGCGGAGTTCTTGACCTAGCTCCCAAGTCAAGCTCCAGGATGCTACAGGCACGCGTCAGGCCAAAGAGCATCTAGTCCCAATCCACCAACCATCGTCCAGTAGGGCATGTAAAGGTGCTGATCCTGACATCCCAAGCTGACATGCCCTACTGGACGTGAGCCTCTTTTTGACTGTGCTGTGGGTTCCTCTGGTGTTTTACTGGTCAGGTCAGGCAATCATGATATCAAGAGAACATCCTAGCCGGCGAGGTGTCCCTGGGCTCGATGACCGCGATGCCGCTGTGTTCACCTTACTTCATCGTAGAGATGTCGCAGGATGCTCCAAAGCATCACGACAGCCTGACGCGCTTTATTCTCTCCTTTCCGGAACCAAGATGCTCTGCGGCAGCTTTCTGCAGAGCTGTGAAGCCACCTGAGAACTCAGTGAGAATCATTTCCATGGGAAAGGTCCTCTCGAGCTGCTGCCAGGGTACGGAAACGCCTGAGGAACCTTTGACGCATCAGCCCAAACAAAGCATGACAGTCGTTCTTTATCACCGGTTGGGGGCGCAGCGTGCACGAAGCATCTGACGTCCTTCCTGCTTCAACAGTGCAGACAAGGAGCCTCCACCAATTATGGCAATCCGGTACTTTGTTGCCTCACATGTTCGAGTCACTGGCAGACATTGTTGAGAGCGGGCAAGGTAACTCTCAAGCAGCCTAACCAGCACCCACGGAGACACTGCCCGATTGATTGCAGTCGGAGCGACGGGTTGCACCGGCACGGCTCGGTGGCCCAGTTGCCGTGAAATCACGCCCAGCATGCCCCTCACCGCACCGCTTCGCTTCATGGTCTCCTCTGGGCACAGCTTGTGTCTGGTCTTGCGTGGAAAGCCAGATTAGCAGTCGTATGGTAGGGTCTCTTGGAAGCTCCAGAGCCTACTTGGGAAAGATTTCCGCTAGACAGTCAACACTCTCAAAGGCTTGAGACCCGAAGAGAAGCTCCACAAGCAGCAGAGAGTCCATCGACACTCTTTCGCAGCATGTCAAGCCGTTCATGCAGGTTCAAGCATTGCCAACGAAAAAGCTGTGGAAGACTTCTGTGCTTGTCACAATCATAGCCGCATGCTGAATGAAGCTCGGCAGCATGCCCAAGGCAGCATGCATCACTGGCAAAGGGCATCCTGCAGGTTGACGACGTGCGCGGCGGCACGTGGATGCACGTGGAGTAGGCTTGAGAGAAGCGCTTGCGGCCAAGGACTCAGAACTCACCTCGCCCACTGCCGTGCTAGAGTCTCGCCCTCGGGGACCCGGACTGAAAATGAAGGCCCAGCAGCGCACTCCCAAACGATGATGCTCTCATCCTTCAACGCAGAGAGAGAACACGCCTTTGCCACACCGTCTCACACTCTCAAGAAAGAACGTAATCGAGAGTGCCACTGCTGGAGGAAGTGACAGGTGACCACAGTTCGTACGCTCAGAGAATCGATGTCAGGCCTGGGCCTAAACCGATCCCCGAGACTCACAAGCAAGTCCGAGATATAAAGTCAGGAAGAGAGAGCTACAGGGTGCCGCCAAATGAAGACACAGCTCTCACGACATACTGCTTGGGCCCCTTTGCGATGACCCCAACTTGCGCAACAGATAACCGTGGGACATAATTCTACGCGTTTGCCATCAGAACACGTCTGCAAAAGTCGGATCATGGTGAGAGCCTTCGACGAAGACGCTAGGTAGCGGCCGTCGTCTGTGACGACCGCAAACCAAACCTCGTCTCGATGGTGGTTGAGCCTCACAGGCCGAAACCCAAGCGGAGCCTTGGATTTTGGAGAGTTTTTTCTAGCCCTGCGGAGCCTTGCAACGCAGTGGATGGGCAAAGCCGGCCTGGGCCAAGGCTCGACAGAGCTTTCAAAACTTCCTCTGTCCTTTTAAGGGGGAGTGCGCGGTGTAGCTGTAGTCCTTGAGCAGGTTCGGCCCGGAAGACCTGAGTAAGCTGCACAGCCTTTCCATGCGTATGCAGCCCACAGACCACGACGTGAAGGTTGGTTTAGTGCCCTGCAGCAGCGTCGGGTCCATGTCGGTGGACAAGCAGTGTAGCTGCTGATACCTCATGCGTGATTTCATATTCCAACTCGCAAGTCGCAGATACCGACTTCAGCTGGCTTCGGGGGGATTCGAATTAGGGCGACTTGAACCGAAGAGGACTCGTGCCGAACACGACAATTGCCCCAAGCTGCCCCAAGATGTCAAATCTCAGAGTCTGAGAAAGCTCAAAAAGAGGCGAATGGCTAGGCTTTGTTTCCTTGCACTCCCCTGGACTCTTAGGAGTGTGGCCGCTCGAATCTTCCACCGGTTTTGGCCGATGTTTGCCGCTGAGGGCGCCACATGAGGTTCGGATCGAGATCAGTGTAAAGGCAGTGAAGCTGCTGATACCTTTCCAGGTGATGCCAGAGAGAGCAGCACAACCATCATCTCATTCGCAGATCGCCACAGCTTCTTCGCTGACTGTAGCCGCCAAGCTATGCGATTTGAAGCAGAAGAGCACGACGCCAGGTGCACTTGCTCTGCCGGCGTCATACGCGGAGCGCGCCTGACCGCTTGCCACAGCAGCGCACAGAGGCGGCGCGGGGGCAGAGCCAAGTCTGCTGGTAGCAGCTCCACCTTCCAAGATGTCACCCCGAAGAATCCGCTGACTCGGCTGTTCCGGGTGTGGCCGCTGCCCATGCTCAGCATCTGGCCAGCCGATCCGCAATGTCGCCACGAGACGGCGAGGAGTCTGCAAGCTCCTGGAAAGGCGCGAGACTTCGACAACGGTAGGCTTAGGCTTAGGAGCTGTCGAAGGTGAACACCGAAACCTTTGACTTGTTTGGGGCCTTCGCAGCTGTTCCTGTTCTTCTGTGCCTGCCTTGCGCTGTCATCTCCGACGAGTGCCCGCTCTGCGTCTGCTGGCCACATCACCTGCCTGGACCTCTGTACGCAACTAGTGTAAGGAAGGGTTGGATGCTGCGGCGAGTGCACGGCCCTTGCATTTACGGATGATCTTCTGGTGTGTCATGTGCATGTCAAGCCCTGTCGTTTGTTTGCCGCCTTGGTGTCACTTGTAGGTGTCCTTGGCGACAATCCCATGCACCTCCATTGGTTATATCATTTGCTTGATGCTTCTTGCCTCTTTGGCCCTTGAATTCCTATGGGTCAGCTCGTGCTGCCGCTTTGTGCCGTTACATTCGCTACGCTGGTGTCTGTGTGTGACCGTGCCATCATGCAAGGGCCACGGAAGGTTTAGTTCTCTCTAGCACGACTCCTTGATTCAAGGGCCCCGGAAGTCTCATTGCTTGGATGCTTGTCGTCCTTTCTGATTGTCGTTCTGGTTGCCTACCTGGCTGCTCTGTTCTCGGATGTTTGTTGGCCGTTTCCCATCGTTTCTCTCTGTTGGCGAGTCTACAGTGTTGTAGAGTCTACAGTCTACAGTGGGTCTCAGCGGCCGTTGGCTTGGCTTGTGGGGAATTGGGGGGATGCGGCGCAAGCCGCCCTCTTCTCCATGCAACTCTGACAGTGAAAGACTGCCAAACGATGACGGAACAAAAGACATAATGCTTAACATCATGTCAGCGAGGGGAAAGGGTCTTGCTGTTATCATCACTTCCACTACTGCCATGGATAAAAGCCGAGAAGCCTGGAGGGGAAGCCAAGAAGCTGCGAAAGCCAAAACACAAACTGGCGAGGGAAGGAGAAAGGACAGTCACATGCCGAAGAACGGAAAGTAAAAAACAAAATCCATTTACTGGGCTGAACGCTGCACAGAGTAGTGCGCGAGATTGTTGGACCACTCCACTTGGATGGTCGACATCTGCTTGAGGTGCTTCCCTCTAATCCCGGCTAGGGTTTCTTTTCTGCCAAAAGCTTCCGGGATCCAGGCTGAGGCTTCTCGGGAGTAGCACAACTTCGAACATGCCTGCGTCGCCGGGATGTAATAGGCGGTGCGCCCCTTCCCCGCTTTTGATTTGCGCTTCACAGCATGTGACCGAACCAGGGACGGAATCAAGAACAACAATGAGTGCACTGATAGGTACACGACAAAACATGGATCCTGTAAACAACCCGATTGGCACTGCGAGTAACCCGTCCTGCGGAGAAAGGTCCAACTGCAGCGATAGATCTTCTGCCCCATCCTCGGATAGGATCGCCACATTTCATGCCAGGGCGACATTTCTCTCACCTGATATCTTACTACAAGCGGATAGGGACCGCGGCGGTGCCAGCGATCTCCGCAAAGACCTCCTTCGCGGCCTCCGAAACGCAAGGAGACTGGGCTTTGCTACAAGGGCAGAGAAGTCGCACGTTTGTGAAGTATGAATGCGTTCAGGTTCATGTGTTCTGCTTACGGGCGCTTTTCACCACGTGCGGGCCCTCGTCACTCTGCCTTGCTCTGGTGGCTCTCAGAAACGATCTGAGCCCCGAATGCCGGCCTCCACTTCCCCGCTACGGTGAAGGTCCAAGCACTTCCTGGCAATGTCTTTACTGAAACACAGCGAACATAGTCCTGATGAATACCAGGGAGTGAGAATCGATAATCCAGGTGCAGACAGGCGGCTGCTCCAGTAGCGAGACCCGGAGAGCCTCTCGTGAAGCGACTTTCCGCTTCCCTTGCTCATATCTCGTCGCCGAGCATCGGACGGCCGCCTCCCCCACCATGCTCGGCGGCTCTTCCGCGAGCCGGCGGACCACTCCCAGCGCCTGCGACTCGGACCCCACTGCGCTCACGGCAGCATGAGGCTACCGCATCGACAAGCCTTTAATTAAGTCCGAGGCTTCTGTGTTTGAACATGTCGCATTACTAGTAGTCTGATCAGGTGGGAACTGTTCTATGATTCTGAACTGCTGCTAGCAAGATGCCGCAGTATTGTGCAGTAGCTCAAACTGCGAACTCCGGCACACCCCAAGATTAGGAAACCGCTTCAACCATGATGTGATGCCATGCCAGCACATGCTGGCCGGTCACCGTTAGGTTCTCTGCACACATACTGGGCTTAAGAAGCCCAATGCCTCCAAAATCTCAAATCCAAGGCATGCCAAAACATGCTCAAAAATTAAAGTCGAATTTGCGAAAATGGTAGAATATTCATCTCAGGATAGCGGCTGCGTTTGCAGGAACTGCCAAACCACGTAGATTTCCGGTGCATGTTCACGTCGCGCTTTTGTGCGTTGTGTTTCAGTTTGTCGCGTGCGTTTTGCTTGGTTCGTGTTGTTCGCATGTTGTTGCATGTTTCGCGTTTGTCTGATGGAACCCATGGCCCGAAAATGCAACCTGGCACGGGTTCCTGGCCCTGCCGGAGCAAAAAAACGAATGCAATTGCCAAACGCATGTTGCTTGCATTTATCCGCATTCTCCCGACCGAGATCGGTCCAGCAGTCTCAAAGGGTGTTGGTGCTCATAATATGAGGATTATCAAGGTTTAGAAACACAATGCGCCAACACATGTGCCACCACGGATTTTGACTGCCTCATCCCAGTTGCCGGCAATCGCTGATCGCCTCACACAGACGTGAAGAAGATGTGTGGGTGGCACAGGCGCCGCTGAAAACGTGCAATCTCTGATCTGAGTCTGACTCACTGCAAGCTTCCTAGCATCCGACCGTAAGTCAGCTTAACTTCCGCACGGCAACATGTTCCACTGGCATCCGTGATGAGACACACACGCACAGACAGACAGGAAGCAACGGTCGTGTCTGGCAGCCAGCGCTGCTGACACCACCTGTTCCCCTGCTGGCAGCCACGTTTACAGATGTTCATATCTCGTCCCAACTCCTGCCTGAGATCAGTCACGATGCTTGCCTCTCCGGCTATGCCAGACCTTACACACGGTGATGACAGTAATGACGGCACACTGACTCGGTATCAGCGGGCAGAAGCTATGTTGACAAGCATTGAGTTACATGGAGTTCCCAATGCCATAGACGGATAGGAGCTCGCGTTGCGGCGTGACGAAAGTAGAACACTTAGTTCTGACTGTTTTCTCTTAAAGCTGACGTTCAAGCGTTTTCAGCAAACTGACTGAGATTTAACTTTTTCGGCTCCCCAAAGAGCAAATATATGCAGAGGGTTGCAAAACAGGCATCCTAGTCATAGCTGTTTTGGGGTGTCTTTAGCACCAGGCCACTGACTTTTCTGGTGCATTAACTTTTCCTGGTGTACTAGCACCAAGCCACAAATTTATGTGCTGCATTTAGCACCAAACCAGAACTGTCCCACAGGTTTCGTCTCGCGTCTCGCTGGATTCACTCCTCAGGGTTTCGTCTTGGGTAAAAGGTTCCTGCTGGATTCACTCCTTAGGGTTTTCGCTTTGGGTAAAAGGTTCTCGCTGGATTCACTCCTTAGGGGTAGGCGGGGTAGGTGGGGTATATGGGGGGGTGTAGGGTGGGGCAGGTGGGACAGGGGGGCAGTGGCGGTAGGCGGGGTAGGTGTAGGTGGGGCACTAGAGGCGGTAGGCGGGGTTGGTGTGGAAAAAGTTACGTCTGTGAGGAAAGCAAAGCTACATCTAAGAGAATAAAAAGTTGCAACTTAGCCTGCTACCTTGACGAATCGCGCAGTGCCTTGTGATGCATTGCGTCTTTTCGTGCGTTTTTAGGGCGGAACTCCTGGCCCAGTCCCGTGCCCAGTTTTGTCTTCAAAGCTATCGGTTTCGGAAAATCTGCGAAATTCGAAAGCTAGTTCCCGCCACTGCGCCGAGACTATTTTGGTGCGCGCATTGTCTTCCTGCCACAGTCCTGTGCGTGGCCACCTTCGGTCGTGCTGGCGCAGCTCCGAATACTTTGACTGCGACTCTCGTACTTGCGCCTCCAATTTAAAAACTGTGCTCACGCCAGTCCTGCCACGGAATGCGATGAGTTTTTTGGAACTCCTACCACGGCAGGAAGCTGCTTCTACGGTTGTTGGGTATGGCTTCGGCTGGTGTTTGGGGGCTACATGTCATCCTTCGGAGCTTGACTCGGATCCAGACTCCGTCTCTAAGGCCGCCCGGGTCACTTCGAGGCCCAAATCTCCAAGCGCCTGCAACAAAGATGCTCGTCAGACGGGCAGGGGCCCATGCAACGCACGGTGCTACAAAACCCTCCCATCAGCTGCGCACTTGGCCGATCAAGCGAATAAGGTCGGTCCGGCGCAACCCATCGAAGGTTGGCCTGGGCTTCTCTATCACAGCTTTCACCTTTGAAGTTCCTTCACTGCCACAGCTCCTGCTACCGGTTGAGGTTGAACTTATTGACTTATTGAATCTGGGATGTCAGCTGAAGCTGGTCTGGGCTTCACGCTCCTTCTCTTCTTGGGAGGTCGAGGATGCTGACGAGCCCAGCGCTGTGCTCGACGAGCTTGGAAGTTCCTCTCAGCAGCGGCGTTCGCATTCCATTCAAAGCCGGATACCAACACCACGCACTCAGAATGAAAATCCTGCAGTCTGCATGGCTACCAAACCCTGTCTTATAGGTCAGTCGCGTTTGCTCGCTTTGCTGTTCTCCTTCTCGTGGCTTGGATCATCTAATCGGAGATCACAAGCCTGCTGGCCAGACAGGGTTGCAGTGCCCTTCGACTCAGACTGAGCTTCTGGCCTCGACACCCCCCGAGCCACGTGGCCTCCAACAAAGAAACGTGACCGTTCAGGGGGACCAGACCAGACTCCACACGTCGCCGCCAGCCTCTTGACCGAGGATGCTGCAGCCTGCCACTGGAGAAACATTGGGATCCAAGGCTGTGAGTAGTTCCTGAAAGTGGGGTCCACAAACACACCTCTTGAACAAGTACCTGCTCAGAAACTGAGCACTATCACTCTCGCGAAATGACTGTTCTTTCTTCGCTAAGTTTCGGATGCACAAATATCGTACGCGATGTTCTTGGACTCGCTGGGTTTCTGCCTCGCTGCGCCGTGGCGGCTCGGAACCTCGCCTGCCACCACATCTGCTGCTGCGATTGTGACGATGACAGTTACTATGATGATGACGATGATGTTGATGATGACGATGACGTTGATGACGGTGACATGGCGATGGTATGGTGATGATGATGATGATGATGACGACGGTGATGATGGTGGTGGTGATGATGATGATGGCTAAGCACCACGGCCATCATATATGCTTGATTTTTACGACCGTTGTTATATTGATCGTGATGTCCATACATTACCATCGTGCACGGCGATGATACTTGAGTCTTACTACTGCTAATATGTTAATGGCGACGACCATATATGACCATCGTGCGGAGATGATGATGATGATGATGATGATGACAGCGGTCATGAATGACAGTGGGTATGGTGGTGGTGGTGGTGGTGGTGGTGGTGGTGGTGGTGGTGGTGGTGGGGATGGTCATGATGATGATGGTGATGATGGTGATGATGATGATGATGACGGTAGTGATAGCGATAGTGGGTATGGTGATGGTGATGGTCATGATGATCATGATGATGATGGTGATGACATGATGATGACGATGACGACGACGATGGTGAGTGATAAAGATACTACAAGTTTTTCATTCCGATTCAGAAAGATTAAGAAAAGCGATGCAGAGGATGACAGGAATCAGAATAAGCATGATGGCAATTAAGCACGATGGCAATGCTCGATGTGAGGGTAGTGGTGGTGGCGGTGCAGTTGATGATTCTGCCAGAGCCAAATTCCATACGACCTCTAGAAATGTCTACACAAGTATACGCAAGTTGCACGTTGAATCCTTGCGTCTCCCCGAATCAAGATCTGCCGAGGTGGAGGCTTTGTTGCCACCATGCGTCTGCGGCAACAAGCTCTATCCATGACTTCAAGGATTTGGACAGTAATGTGTTGTCATAAGTGCCTAAGCCATAGTCGTCGAAGCTGTTAGGTGGTAACCTAACGATGAAGCTCGAAATTGAGGAAGAGGGAGTTGCCTTGTGCTTGTGTGGAGGCTCGGAGATGTCATGCGCGCTATCTCTCCCGGCTTGCGCTCAAGAGCTGAACCGTGTCTGGCAGGTACAAGAGGCCTCAACTCCGGCAAACTCCGAACGGTTCCCACAAAGAAGTCACTACGCCACAGTCCTGACCTCCTAAAGACAAGTCTCCCCTGCACCATCCTCGCAAACACTCGACACACCATGCGTCAAAACTCTAGCCGACCCAGGAAGCCAAAACAGTTGGAAGAGCATGCCGTTTTATTTGATCTCGGAGTCGGCACATCCCCAGCGCGCAGCCCCTCAGTGTTCTTTTTTGTCGACACGGGCTTGAAGCAGCTGGCGGCTCGACCGGCCGATCATACTGCCTTTGTCCTCCATCCAATCGCGATATGACCGCATGCGCTGCATCCACCGAAGTAGCCGGATGCCTGCGAGCAGCACCAGGAGCTCACGCGAATCGGATCGCATCTGAGAGTGCCCTGCCACGTGCAGAGTATGAGCCCCGCAGGTTCATGTCCTACGTCGCTGCACTTCCCCAACAGGTCATGCTGAACACCTCTCGCGGTACAACTCTTCCGCGAGACCACACACGTTTCCTGAGTCGCATGATGGCAGAACTTTCCAAAACCCGTATACCGCCGCCTGAACACCCCTTCGACACCTGCCACCGGACGTCGCCGGAGGACATGCTCCCGACCTAGCTCTCGTCGAAGAGCACAAGTCACAAGCTTGCTGCACAGAGCTGTTGCTAAGTCTTGCTTAGCTTCATGAACGCAGAGCGATCTCATATCGGCGACCCGACGCCACACGAAGCCTTCACGCCAACCCCGCTCTTTAGGAATTGCTCCTGTCAACCACTATCAAAACCTCTCTGTTGTCCCTGTAGGCAGTCACCTTGCTGGATAAACAGTACCATTTGGAGCAAAGTTAAGGGGTCAATGCTAGTGCAAAGTCAAGCACATCGAAACTACTTTTTCCTGGACATTCAAATACTCTGAATCTGGAATCACGCGCCTGCTTTCGTTGCCCGTGTCATGTGATTTTCTGATGCTTCCATGCTTATGACAGGCATGACTCGGGCAAGTAAAGACAAAGGCAGGGAAGTCTACCTCCGGCCACGCCGGCCGTCTGTCCAAAAATCACCAAGCTGCGGATAAGACCGCAGAGGAACCGGCTAATGACTTGTACCATCCGACAAAGTTCATATCGCCAGTGTCTTGGCAGAGGAAGGGGGAAGTTGGAAGCGCGACAAAACTCCAGCAGTTGCAAGTCAGGCAAGCTGCTGGACCCTGTGCCTGGTCCTTTCAAAAGAATGCCAAGCCAAGCCAAGCCAAGCCAAGCCAAGCATGCACGCGCGTGCTTTAGACGCACGAATCCACCAGGGCAGGTACCCTCGTGCCTCCCACCGGAAAGATTCCTTCAAAGCAAAGTATTTGGGATGATATGCCATTCAGGCGTGTTCTTCCAGTTGCCACAGCCCAGCAGAATGAGAAGGGTCTGCAGGCAACGAAGACGAGTTGAAACTCTTTACATGGTGGCTTGAAACGAAGAACCGGATAAAATCGAGGCTGCACACCACTGAGGCGGCCTATACAAAGTGCCAGCGGCCTGTCATGATTTGAAGACCGATCCCAACTGGGAAGAGCCATGCATTCGGAAGCCGTGAAGCCAAAGCAAGTATCCTCGATTCCCTCCACATTCTAACAGGCTCAACGTTGCTCTGCATCTCGGCATCTGGAATCGTACGAATTCAGCTCGCGCGTGCAAGGGCACCCTCAGCTTTTCAGGAGTTTTCAGCGACCTCTTCTCCAGGCAGATCAGTGCAGACCGCACTCAGCGCCGGGATGCTCCTTAGCCTGAGAGACAACGCCAATGTACTCTGACAGTGCTTGCAAGCTCCTTGCAGGTCATACGCAAACCCGCATAAGCCAGGCACAGACAACATCAGACAGGTTAGTGACAAGTTCAACAGATCAGTTCACCGAACTTTCAAACACTGGGCAGGATGAGGACGCTGCAACCCTGATTTATAACGGCAGATACAGCCAAGTTACACTACCCGGCCGTAGCGAGAGCGCGACAAGGCTGAAAGGTTCTCCTGCATAGTGTCCAGGGCCTTTGCAAGCATCTCCCCCTCCAGGACATGAAGCAAAGTCAGGGCTGTCTGGTGGCCATGCCGAATTTTGGACATGGCAAGGAGAAGCCCTGGCTGCGACAAGAGCCCATTGGCCAAGCTTCTCTTGTCCTCGGGACAGACATGGGCCAGTGCCTTGGCCAACACGGCACTGGCATTCTGGTCCGTGGCCAGATCAGAAGCTTGAGCCTTTAGAAGCTGGCAGAGCGAGTGCCGCTGTGCGAGCGTGCCATGACTGAGGATCCGCTGCATCACGAAGTTGCCGTACTGATGCCGGACGAGCTGAAGCCCCTCCTTAAGCAAGAAATCCACCATTCCCATCGTTTGCTCATGTCGGAGATGCTCCAGGAGTCGCTGCATGATCCGACATCCATAGCGATGGCGTGCCAGCTGCGAAGCTGCTCGCCTCCCCTGGGAAGAGATCTCCTCAATGATGAACTGACAATCGCGTGGCCTCAGCAAGGTGATGAATCTCTGAAGGACATAGTTCCCGAAAGGGCAACGAGCCGCTTCCCAGACATGTCCAGCCATCTCCTGCGCAAGCGCATTTCGCTCCTGGTCAGAGCTGCAGGCATCGATGGCTTCCTGTACACGACGACATCCCGTCTGCTTTTGGCAGAGCTGCCACACACGGCCTTGGACCTGTGGCGCTCCCTCCGGAGTCGGCGGCAAATTTCCCAGAAAGACAGGAGTCATGGATCTCTCCGACAATCCAAAGGAAGACCCTGATGCAGTGGTGCTCCCGGTAGTCGTTCGAGTGAAGCAACTCGCGGAGGGTGTGGGTGGCAGACTTGATATCTCGGCACTCGACTCCTGTGCTGTACTGTCCGTGCTTGTCAAGCTGAGGCAGGACAGCCCTGCTAGCTGCTAGCAGTTAGAGACCGCGTTACTAATCGCCGACCCAACCCTCAACCTTCGCAGCCACCTGGTAAGCCAAGACATCACAGCCCGAGCTACCAACACCAATTACATCCAATTGCCCCAACTTGCCTGGCACTGAACTGATGCCACGGGTTGTATCGGCTGTATCTGCGGCATCTGTGTCCCAGCCATGATCGGCACAGCATTCGGGAAGGTCATCGGCTGCCTCAGCGCGACCCGGCCTAACCCCGACAGGAAAGAAATGGAGGGCAATGGAGGGAGGTGCTGGAAGCTGCTTGGAAGCTGCTTAGCTGCGCGGCCAAGCTGCCCTGCCTGCACGTTCAAGATTTGTGCAGGCACCCCTCCCTGCATGTTCAAGACGACAGCCTAAGCTGACACAACTTTGCCGCATGCATTTGCAAGAGAACTGTCCCGATGCTAACCCACGGCACTTCTAGTAGCTCTCCACAGGCTAGTTGATCCTAGGAACAACTGCAGGTTGCGGGCACATGAGGACGGTCGGCATGGGGCTGCACATACCTCCCACCATGGGAACGGCGAGTGCAGCGCCACCTGCCTGCACGAAATTCGCTTGCATCATGGCTTCGGCAATTAAATAAGCCGGGACTTTCTGAGGGGTTGGCACGCGCGTCTGAGCCCAAACGTGCACTCGTTCGCAGACACATTGGATGCAGCCGAAAGAAACCGGTACACTGCTTGCCAAGAGTCAGGACACTACGGATTGAAGGATGTCGCGCAGAGTGTGAGGCTGAGCCCCATGCTCGAGTACAGCGACACTGTCCACGAGTCACCGCATCAGCACCTTCTCTCACGCCGAACGAGCGCTTCCCAAGCTCAAGCTCTCCACCTTCCCCCAGGTCCCCCGGCCGGAGGGCGCATGTTGTCATTCGACAGGATCTCCATGCCTCGTCTGCCTCACGAACGCAAGCGCATGCCCTCTTCATGTCTCGTCAGGAGCTTCGACCTAGCCATCCATCTTCGAGCGAGCTGCCCTTGTCAGACAACACCACGGCCCGCGTCAGGCCTATACAGCCTATACAAATTATGAAAGCATGACGCGGGCCGGCAGAACACACTGCCGGGAATTCTACCGCTAGCAGGGTACCTGCTGCTCTTGCTTGAAAATCGTGCCAAGCTGCGGATAAGACCACAGAGGAACCAGCTAATGACTTGTACCATCCGACAAAGTTCAACTCGCCGGTGTCTTGACAGGGAAGGGTTGGAAGCTGAAGTGCGACCAAAATCCAGCAGTTGCAAATCCGGAGAGCTGCTGGGGCCTGTGCCTGCTGGGATCCTTTCCGAAGAACCCCAAGCAAAGCATGCATGCGCGTGCTTTAGACGCGCGAACCAGCCGGGGCAAGTACCCTTGTGCATGCCGCCGGGAAGGTTCAAAAAGAGCTGGGCAGAGATGCCATTCAGGCATGCTCTCCCAAAGCTTTCAAAACCGTCCTTGCTGTAA